ATGATGGACTCAGGTGCTTTCCAATCGGTATAGACACTTGTAAGCTTACCCCACTCTAGCTCGAACAAGCTCTGATAAAAACGTTTTACCATTAGTAAAACATTGTCAATTTAAAATATCGATATTATTCTATATTGATGATAACAATACTTACAAATAGAGTTGCGTCTTGGATGTTAATCGATGAACAAGGACCTGTTACTTTTACTTTCACTTTGTCGTACAATCTTCGGGCAATTACCTCAAGATATGGATTAATGTGCCACAACATTAAAGTAGGGGATCTTATTAATGTCAAAACAATATGGTTGAAAACGAGCATTAAAATCCACATAAAAGAATAGTACTTACAATATGACCAAGTTTTTTCCGAAATCCCTCAATATATTTGTAATAATCTCTTCCATGCAAACACTTAGGCGTCTGCTCAACGTCGATCCTAAATAAATAATAAACCAAAGTTATTACTAATAAAAAACTCTATTTTACAAAATGTAAAGATAATAAATCAACACTTACAGCGTAGCATCTTTACCCTTCATCCATTTTTTGTAGGCGCGAGTCCATTTTTCCTCTTCGTCCTTCTGCAAGTAGTTCACAAAGGGCGAACTTACTTTTTTGCCCAAGAACCTCGTACGTCGTTGTTGTCGTGGCTCACTATCCTCATCATTATTCTCATCAATCGCCTAGGAGTTTTTTAAGCAAAAGTATTATTTGTCCGAGATTCTGGAGAAATTGACAAATGCACAAACTTGCAACAAAAAGGAGTTGTTGTACTCACCGCCTGCTCCACAGCCTCACGAGCAATTTCGACAATGCCAGGAGACTTCTTCTCCTCATCATCCTTATCATCAATTGACTGGGAGTTTTTGTAACAAAATATATCAGTTTTAGGAGATTCTAGACACATTCACAAATGTTCAAACTTGGAACAAAAATTAGTTGTTGCACTCACAGTGTAGTCAACAGCCTCATGAGCAATCTCGACAATGTCAGGAGACTTCTTCTCACTCTCATTAATTTTAGTGTTCACCGCCTGCTCCACACTCTCAATAATCTCAGGAGACTTCTTCTCCACATCAGCCACCTGCTCCAAATCCTGAGGGGACTTATTCTCGGACCTCTCCTCATGAATCGACTAAGAGTTTTTAGAACAAAAAATATTAATCCCAAAAGAAGCAAATTGTTATTCAAGGAAACGTTTTACAATAGTCAAATGCAATTGTAAATAGTTTACCTCATTGGCAAACACCTCATGCTCGTTTTCATCCTCTTCTTTCTTAGCCCCCTTCTCTTTCTCTTTTTCCTCCTCCTCATCCTTCTTTTCCTCTTCCTCCTTCTTTTCTTTCTCCTCCTCTTCTTTCTTTGACTCGTTCTCATTCTCTTCTTCCTCATCCTCATCCTTCTTTTTCTCTTCTTTCCCTTCTTCATCTTCCTTCTCTTCTCTCTCATACTCGTTATCAATCACCTAAGAGTTTTTCGAAACCAAAAATATTAGTTTAAATAGAAACAAATTTCATTTTTTGGTAAAATTCATTAATGTGCAAATGTCAAAAAACTTACCCCATTACCAAAAGTTGGTACCGCCGGATTGAGAGGACCGCTTGATTCTCCTCGAGTGGAGAAGGCCGCCTGAGAGGACTGCTTGACATCATTTTACAAAGAATGAAAAAGTTTTAACTTACCAAAAATGTCAAAAATGCCACGTGAAATGCAAAAGTTAAGAAGTTACCCCATGACCAAAATATGGAGTGGATGGACTCTCAGCTCCTCTAGTTTTATCCCCAGCTCTCGAAATACCATAATTATCCAATCTTCAAAAAACCTCATGAAATACCCGATCAATGGCAATGGGGACGACCTGACGTAAAGTTTGTTCAACTATCGAAGGCATCAACTCTTTCATGCAATTTGAAACGCCTTCCTCCACCCATTGCTTGATTAGGTCTTTGTCCATTCCAACTGGCTCCTTCTGAGGCTCCCTTGGCTCATTTTGAGGCTCTCTCGGCTCCCTCTCCATCTCTTCTTCAGCTTCATCATTTGCTTCTACAGCCAGCTTCTTCGAATTTCTGTTTGTCGGCTGTCCAAGCTTCCTTTTTTTTGGTGGCAAGTGTATGACGTGAAGACGAGGAGGCATCACGTAGCGGCTTGCAACAACTCTTCCACGTGTCGTGGTGGATATATTGCAACCCCAGTGATAAGTCCAATTCAACATCAGCCATATATGGCGCATTCCTCTCAGCATCAGTCAAACACATTGGTATGCATTGAATCT